CGGCAGGCCTCGGGCCTCGGCCGGTACCCCGCCGTGAGCCGCCGCCCTTCCCGCCGCCCGCCCTTCGGGTCCTCTCCCGTCAGCCCTGCATGTACTCCCGCGGGGTTCTGGATCCACCCGCGCCGTGATCCTGCCTGGCGGGGGTGCGTCCTGCCGGCATGGCCGGGGAGGGAGACAAGAGGAAGCGCTTTATTTCAGCCACAGCTGCGAACTACTTCGGGCTGGATCCCGCGGCGGGTCCCGCTGCCCTGGCCGCGGGGCTCCGTTCCCGCCCGGAGCTGACCAACTTCCTCGACGACGGCAATGAGTTCCTCCTCGTTGTGCAGCACTCGGGCGCCCAGCTCACCGCATCCAACAAGGTACGGCGGTGTCGGGCACCCGCGGATCCTTCCCAGTGTCCGAGTGGGGATGCAGAGCCTGGGGTCCGGCCCGGCTTTAGTGGTCTGACTTTAGGTATCTGATTTGGGAGACATCTTCCTACTGCAAATGTCTAGGCTAGTCTCACTGTCTGCTGCATAAATTACTGGCCCGAGAGTCTGTGAAGAGCTTATGGTCAGCTGCGTGATATATTTGTGTCCTGGTTTCAGCTGGGATAGAGTTAACTTTCTTTTTAGTAGCTGGTACAGTGCTGTATTTTGGATTTAGTATGTGGATAATGTTGATAACACACTGATGGTTTAGTTGTTGCTGAGTAGTGCAGGCCTTTCCAGCTTCCCATACTCTGCCCGGTGCATGAGGAGCTGGGAGGGGGCACAGCCAGGACAGCTGACCCAGGCTGGCCACATGGCTGTTCCATACCGTATGGTGTCATGCTCAGTATATAAACTGGGGGAGGAAGAAGGAAGGGGGGGACATTCAGAGTGATGGCATTTGTCTTCCCAAGTAACCGTTAGGCATGATGGAAGCCTACTTTCCTGGGGATGGCTGAACAGCTGCCTGCCGATGGGAAGGAGTGAATGAAGTCCTTGTTTTGCTTTGCTTGCACACGTGGCTTTTGCTTTACCTGTTAAACTGACTTCATGAGTTTTCTCACTTTTACTCTTCCAGTTCTCTCCCCCATCCCACTGGGTGGGGCTTAGTTGCCAGCTGGGGTTAAACCACGACAATTTGTTAGTGGATTGTGCCCATGCTGATATGTACATTGTCACTGTGTGAATGTAATGCAGCCTGGAGAATGGCATGTTATCTTGCTGCAAATGCCAGGTGGAGTCTGATGTGTGGGTTGTTCCTGGGCAAGGGTGCATGCAGGTGGCTGGAAGGATTGCATTGGCAATGTCCATGCAGGAAATGTGGCCCAGTATGTGGCACATTGGCTGATATTTGACAAGTCCCAAGGTGTGTGTTTGTCCAAATCATGCATTTTGCAGATTGATGTGTCCAGCTGTGAGCAAATCTGAGGCTCATTGCGTGAAATATCCTGCTCTGAGGGTTTGCATTCAGCAAGTGACTCATCCGAGCGATACCGTGGGGTGTGACGTGCAGTGAATGTCACCACGTCATCAGGACACACTGTGGTGCGGGTCTTGACGTGTGTCCCATCATTCTGCTGTGACACTAGGGACGTGGTGTCT